CCATTTTTCCTTTAAGATAATTTCAAAAATATTCTAGGTCCCATATATGAAATTACAGATTTTAAGAAGCGCAAAGCAAAACACAAAAACAAGAGAGCTTGGAAGTATCTCAATGAATTAAACCAAATGAAATGATACATAATATTACTAAGTACTTGATTGCTTATAATTCAAGTCAATCACAAGACAATGAAAGCATATTTAAACAAAGTGATTTCATAACTCTTTACATAGATGTTCTATCAAGACATAATTGGACTCATGATACTTCAACAAGATTGATACACCATAGACCTAAGTTTATTCATTAAATCTATATAAACAAATTCTAACTTATATGAAATACAATTAAAGCAATAATGCACTAATGCAATAACAAAATTAATGAGTACTAGGAAATTAAAAGAGATAAGGGAAGAAGAAAAGATACACAGAGATATATAGTGGTTCAGAGTTCATTCTCATTTTGCCTACTCCACTATTAAATGGTGTTGAAAACCACTAGATAATAATCACAATCTTCCTTTATTTTGATAAGTTTGATTACAAGCATTTTGGTTACAACAGACTATCAAACGATAATTATATCTATTGATGCAGACACTACCTTCTAACAAATATAAGATCTCTAAAAGATCTTGATCCAATAACCTAGTTATCCATAAAAACCTGCTCTAAGTATTCGTAATTAGAAATCCACTTGATCCCACTGATCTCTTGTCGGAGTGATTGCCATTAGCTAAGCAGGGGGATTGAATAAACCATTTCCCTTTTAATACAAATTCAAAAATATTTTAGGTCCCATATATGAAATTACAGATTTTAAGAAGCGCATAAGAAAAACACCAAAACAAGAGAGCTTGTAAACATCTTAATGAATTAAAACAAATGAAATTGTACATAATATTACTAAGTGCTCAATTTCTTCTAATTCAAGTCAATCACAAGACAATCAAAGCCGCTTTAAACAAAGCAATTTCAGAACTCTTTACATAGATGTTCTATCAAGATATAATTGAATTCATGATACTTCAACAAGATTGATATACCATTGATATAAGTTTATACATTAAATTCATATAAGCAAATTCTAACTTATATGATATACAATCAAAGCAATAATGCTGTAATGCAATAACAAAATTAATGAGTACTAGGAAATTAAAAGGGATAAGGGAAGAAGAAAAGATAGACAGAGATGTATAGTGGTTCGACGTTCATTCTCACTTTGCCTATTCTCCTCTTTAATGGTGTTGAAAACAACTAGATAATAATCATGACCTTCCATTGTTTTGATAAGTTTGATTACAAGCATTTTGGTTACAACAAACTATGAAATGATAATTCCATCTGTTGATCCAGACACTTAACTACTAACAAAAATAAGATCTCTAAAAGATCTTGATCTAATAACCTGGTTATCCATAACAACCTGCTCCAAGTATTCGTATGTAGAAATCCACCTGATCCCACTGATCTCTTGTCGGAGTGATTTCCATTAGCTAAGCAGGGGGGTTGAATATACTATTTTCCCTTTAAGACAATTTCAAAAATATTTTAGGCCCCATATATGAAATTACAGATTTTAAGAAGCGCATAAGCAAAACACAAAAATAAGAGAGCCTAGAAGCATCTCAATGAATTAACCAAATGAAATGATACACAATATTACTAAGTACTTGATTACTTCTAATTCAAGTCAATCACAAGATAATCAAAGTCGCTTTAAACCAAGCGATTTTAGAACTCTTTACATAGATGTTCTATCAAGATATAATTGGATTCATGATACTTCAACAATATTGATACACTATAAACCTTAGTTTATACATTAAATCCATATTAGCAAAGTCTAACTTATATGACATACAATCAAAGAGATAACGAACTAATGCAATAACAAAATTAATGAGTACTAGGAAATTAAAAGAGATAAGAGAAGAAGAAAAGATACACAAAGATATATAGTGGTTCAATGTTCATCTTCACTTTTCCTACTTCCCTCTTCAATGGTGTTGAAAACCACTAAATAATAATCACGATCTTCCACTGTTTTGATAAGTTTGATTACAAGTATTTTGGTTACAATAAACTATCAAACGATAATTCTATCTTTTGATGCAGACACTCAACTGCTAACATTCAATAACCTGGTTATCCACAATAACCTGCTCCAAGTATTCGTATGTAGAAATTCACCTGATCCCGCTGATCTCTTGTCAGAGTGATTTCCATTAGTTAAGCATTTATTGGACAACTCCCAATTTTGTCTGTGAGGAATATTTCTCCAACTCCACCAAAGATGGATAACTTGCGTCTCCGCTTTACAAATAATTGATACTTGATATTCCCAAAGTCTTTCTTGGAGTATATTGAAACTCTTTTCTTGATGAATAACAACAAATATCAAACTGCATTCAAGAAATGATATCTTCACTTGTAACAAATAACAAACTTCTCACAAAAATATTAGTACCCTAATGTATCATTAGTCTCCCTCAACAATCAATCTTTAGAGATGAAGATCTTAAAAAATGGAAAAAGACTAAGGATGAAGATGATGAACAATGTCATACTATCTCACAAGCACTCTAAAACACAAGTTGTTAGTTAAAGGATTAGATGAATATGAATGAAGAGCACACACACAAAGTTTTCTCAAATGAATAAAGAGTCGTGGTTTTGATTGTTATCATGAACTTGATTAATCATGAACAATACAACAAGATTAATCAACTCACTCTTTCTAATTCACTCAACACAACAACAAAATGCACAAGAACAAGATGCAACAAAAAGAAAAATGAATTTGACATGAATTCATAATCAAGAAGTTGCTCTAGAGAAGAAAAGAAAGATTCATAGTGATGGGTATAAACACACTAAAAAGAGAAGACAAATTCATATCTTTGTCTCTATGGATTTCACCCATATGTTTCACTCACTTGTTTCTTTCACCAAAGAAACAACTATTTAAAACAAGGGTGAAAAATGAGTCTGGTGAAACATTGATTCAGATCAAGTAGAAACTTTGATTCAAATCAATTTGAGCGGAATCTAAATATAGATTCATGGAGACAATTGACTCATATTAGGATTTTAACTTGATTTGGATTACATGAGGTTGTGATTCGAATCATGTTCATTTTGTGATTCAAATCAAATAGTCTAGAAACAACTCCCAATTTTCACAAAGCTTTTTATTTGAATCATGTTTTATACTTGATTGGAATCAAACAACTAAAAATCCAAATTTAAGAGTTCTAACTTGTGATTCAAGCTACGCCTGATGAAACAACAAAGTAGCAACTTGCTAGGCTAAAAAAGAAACAATATAATGGATCAAAGACTCCTATTTAGTCGAGTAAGGAGAGTTCTTAGTGATACAACAATATAATAGCCGAAGTAATTACAATACAAATAAAACACGAATAGAGTAAAAACACACAATTATTGAATGATCAACAAATTACAAATACATAAGTACTAAATCAACTACATTCAAATTGTCGAAAACATAAAAAAAAATCAACAATATCATACAATACCGTGACTACACTTTTATAAAGGTGCATTATAATTGATTTGTGATGGAGGAACAAAACATGGGGTAATTCATAAATAGGCCAATTAACATTGACTTTAACATGAGGATTCCTACAAGGATGGTTTGCATCTCGCGAATAGTAGGGTTTGAAATCATATCAAAATTAGGAATTTGATCTTGCTTGAGTTATAAGTGCCTAAAATGAGGGAAAATCCATATAATAAGCAATGCTCTTATTAACTTATTTTTTTAATAAAGCCCATAAAATCCACGAACCTCTGTATATATTAGAAGTAGTAGTGTTTAAGTTACATTTATTGCTATTCCATTTCCAAGACTTTGTGTGATAAAAAATGAATAATTGATCCAGTAAATTTTCCAAGCGAACTCATTAATTTCTAGACGAGCAAAAAGTCAAGTATTCCAAAGGTTATGAATTCATCAAGCAATCAAGTCATCTCACAAGATAAATCAATGCAGTTTTAGTGACCTAAAAGGATAAGTTGACATCAACTAAAGGAAGTCATTCTTGCGAGGTAATCCTAACAGTTTACAGAAGAATCTTAGTGGCCCTAACGCACCCATATGACACAATTCAAAAACACTTCAGGGATAAGTAAAACTAAATTTTCAAGATGAGCCCGTTAGGAGAAATCGGGTGGTTTTTGACACCCTTATAAGGTGAGATGACTTATATTTAAGGGAGATATCTAAGCTCGTAAGGAAATTTTTTCTCATCAAATTAGTTAAACCTAACCCGGAAATTTGAAATCATATAACTCATCAAGAAATTATTTAAAATGATTAATTATTGAAGTCTAATCTCAAATACACTTTCTTAACTTTGATTTTATGTTATTTAAGTTATAGTGAATGATTGAAATAAATGAAAAATCTATGTGGATACGATAATATACTATACTTTGAGATACTACCCTAAAGCGTTCTATCACTTGGCATATCAATTTCTAGTTCTTTTTCATTTGAATTATTTATCACTGCTTTGATTGTTATTTGATTGGTGTTTCTTCTTCTAAAAGGATGAACTATATATGGTAACAATTTGAATTAAAATATTACAAAAAATGACACCAAATTTCTCAACTTAATGCTCCACTACACGTGCCAATTTGTTGGCATTAAATTTAACCACTTTCAACAAATAGACTCTATGTTAAATCTAGGACTCAAGTCATATTTTTTGGAAATTTTTAGTTGATAGATTTGATGATAGAATTTAAGACTAGTGTTTTGAGTAACTTATATTTATTTCTATTTCGAACGTAAAGTGAAAGAAAAATAAGAATAAAGTGTAGTAAAGAAAATAAAATAAAATAAAATAAAAACCAGTAATATATATTAATAAGGAGTAATATACATCATTTGTCATCCAAGACCAGTGTGATTTTTATCCTATTGTGTGTGCATGGATGTAGAATTTTTCTGGATCTAGCTATGAAGAAGTTGAGTGTGTGTGCAAGCCTTCATAGGTTGTTATCACATATCTTGAATCATCCTTATCTTTCTCAACTCTCTTTTTTACAGGACATCCCTCCACTGAACACCTATAATAATTCCTGCAATCATACTCATAATAAATAAACTATATGTTATAAATTAATCATAATTTATTTTGTATACTTACCTTGGATTAGGGCTGTTCTTAACCATTTTCTTTCCATACTTTCTCCATCTGTAACCATCATCTAGTATTTCAATCTCAGTCATTGTTTTGAATGCAACTCTCTTGTTAACTTCATTCTTCCAATATGTACCTTGGGTTAGGGCTGTTCCACTCATTGTAGTATTTGTATCCCCTAAAACAAGACAACAACATATAATACTATAAGCTAAAGACAATAGTATTATAGACAAGTGTTACTAGATAATTCTTAAATAAAATCTAAATAGCTTTTTAACATTATTTGATCACATGATTATTTAAAATATTTTATTTGATAAAATAACTAATATAATTAGATAAATATATTCGGTCACATGATTATTGAAATACTAATATATTAAAATATTCCAACAAAAAATTGTTTATAAGTTAATCCAAATGGAGCCTGAATAATTGATTAATTAAAATGGCTTACTGGTATAACTAGAAGACCCCTCAATGTTGCTGCTGCCACCTGCTATTTCATTGGCTTGATAAACAAAAGACTGATTATTAGCCGTAGGATCAACTTGTTGCAATTCAATATCTGCAAAACTCATGTAGTCAGAGAGTTCAAAAGACCATTGCTGGCTGCTAAAATCACTGTCAGGAGATGATGAATTTGCTGCTATTGGATTTCTCTCTGTCATTTTGTTAGTGCAAAACTGATCATGTGAAAATAAATATGATCATGATTCTACCTATATATATAACAATCAAACTCAGGAGGCACAGTTTTAGTGAGCTAGCTAACTATGCAGCTTCATGGTGACTTTCCTATATATGAATTATAGTAATAGGAAGTTTCAAATATATATATATTGAGATGTAGATAGATAAACGCCATGTCAAAATATCAGTTCAAGAATTATAAAACAATAATTAATGAATTTAAATAAATGTATGTTGGTAGCAGCATCGATATTTTAGTGCACGACGACAATTCAAATTTATTTTAAATTATATTTTAAATCTGTATTACTTGGATTACAAGATATTATTCGTTATAAATTTAAGAATTTTCACGACTTGGTCTTTTAAAAAAGATGTTTAGTTGGATTAATATGTATGTTATTAAATTTGATTTGTAAATAATATGAGACTATTTTGATACAATGATTATTATTAGTTTTTAAAATAATTCATATATTTATAAAAGATATATTTTAAAATGAGTAATATATTTTAATTTTTAATACAATTAATAACAATTCTTTTAGAGTTATATTTTGAATTGATATTATTTATATCACGTTTAATTTAATATTTTACACTATTTATATTTATGACAGATGAATACTTTGATATTAAATAAATAAATTTAAGACAGAGAGTGGTAGATAAACAATCTTCTAAAAACAAGTATGTTTGAATATCAAGAAATTCTTAGCTAATAGCAAATATAACACGAAAGATTACACACAATTAATTATAATTTTTATATTAATTAAAAAATAAATAAATAAATTTTCTTTTTTCCATTATCACAATTATTCTATAATGGCAATTAAAAATTAAATTAAATTATAGATAAATTAAAAAAATGTTCTTTTCTTATTAATTGTTTTTAAAAAAATGAATTTTAATTCATTTTCATGCAAGAATTCCTCTCGAATACCTATACATCTTTTAAGTGATTAATAAAATTATTTTTTATAAGCATAAATTAAAAGTGCAAAAATACTATATATATATATATATATATATATATATATATATATATATATATATATATATATATATATATATATATATATATATATATATATATATATATATATATATATATATATATATATATATATATATATATATATATATATATATATATATATATATATATATATATATATATATATATATATATATATATATATATATATATATATATATATATATATATATATATATATATATATATATATATATATATATATATATATATATATATATATGTCTACTTTTTTTCCATTTGAGGATACATGCTTAATTAATATTATTGTAAAAGATATTTTATTTTTTAAATTTATTTAATAATTAATATATTTGATCAATTAATATATTTAATCTCTATTGTAGATCAAATACATTAATTATTAAATGAATATAAAAAGTGATTTTTTTTAATAATAGAGACCAGAGAAAATATATAAAGAGTGGGGTATATTAAGGATGACTTGGGAAGACTTTGAATTTCAAATGATGATAATTTTTCATAGTCTATTATTGGAAGTTTCAAGGAACAACAAATTTAAGGTACTGTGTATATGATATAGTTACTTATCACAAATCATCTACTTTTTGTTTGGCAAGCCTTCTACAGTACTTTTAGTGGAAAAATATATATAATAAATAAACTCAAGCATTATCTCAATTTCACTAGTTGGAAAATATATAAATCCTAAATTATTGGTCAAACATTTTTTGAGATTTCTTTGGTTGACTTCAATGAATATGACAAAATAAACCAAATTAGGAGTGTGGAGGTGATGGTGCTAAACCAAATTAAAAGATATTAAAAATCTTAAATCACTTGTTAGGAAGATCATAGGTATTTTCAAAGAACTTTCATTAGATGGATATATTAGTGGTGTTCTTCCCTCATTTTAATTGATTTTTTTTTTACTCTTCATTACTTGACATATTAGTTGACATCATGTTTTCATCGTCATTAATAATCTGCCTTATATATGTAACACTTTAACAAAAAAAAAAAAGAAATGTATTCAACTATTTGTTTTAAACAAATATGTGTTTTTTAACACTACAAAAACGTTTATATGCATTTTATTTTTTTTCTACACGACACCTTTTATATTGATTTTTTTTTTAAAAATAACTATGTATTAAAAAAAATTTCATAAATAATCATGTTTCGGAAAAAATTACGCAAATAACCATGTTTCAGATGACTCTTCAAAGGAGGAGCCATCTCACTTGGCGCCTACACCTATTTTTTAAGGGGAGGCGCCATCTCACTTGGCGCCTAGGTGCTTAGGGCTTGCCATAAGCCAAGTGAGATGGCGCCTTAGTGCATTTGCTAAGGCAATTTTCGCGTTTTTTTTTCAATGCGGTGCGTTACGTATTCGATATAGGATCAACAAAATTGATCTTTTATTTACAAAATATGATTACACACATAACTGTTACATAAAAAAACAGATTAATCAGTGGACCCCCGGAACCCGGTAATGACCCCCGGTTCCGCATCCCCGTCCTCGCCTTTCCCGTGCTGGGTTTCGTCGCATTTCCTGCTGTGGCGGGGTCGATGGTCCAGCGAAGTCAATGAGTTCCGGATCCATGAAATCAGTTAGATCTCCATATCTAGAAGATCCGCTTTGGTACAGTCGGTTACCCATACCCTCAAAGTTTGGCCGTGTTGGCGGTGGGTGGGGTTCCATGGTTGGTCTGTAGCACTGGTCGTCTGAGTACGGGGGGTAGAAAGGAAATGGATCTTGGGGTGTTTGGTATTGAGGATGTTGGGTGGTTTGGTGATATTGTGGTTGATGGTAAGTTGGGTCGGTTGGTTCATAATCTTCCGACATTCCCAGATCGGGGCTAAGGTTGGATGTTGAGGGGCCCATATTGGGATATGCAGAAGACTGAAATTGTGTGTGGGGTATGTGGGTGTGTTGGTATTATGATTGAAATTGCGGTTGGGTGTGAGGCATTTGGGGGTATTGGTACTGAGGTGGTAATTGTGGTTGGTTGTGGGGCATGTGGGTGTAATTGTATTGTGGTGGTGACTGTGGTTGGGTGTTTGTGGTTCTGTTTTGTCTGGGGGGTTGGTGGGAGGTTGATGTGTGTTGGGTTTGTTGTTGGGGAAATGAGGATTGTGCCCATTGTGTTCGTGGGTCAACCAAATACCTTGGATGAGACACGTGCACTTCAGGGGTACTAACCGATCTGTACCATGATAAATACTGACCCGTGTGTCGCATATTACGAATTTTTTATATTAATAACCATGTATTAAAATAATATTTCGCAAATAACCGGGTTTCGGAAAAAATTACGCAAATAACCATGTTTGAGATGGCTCCACAAAGGAGGAGCCATCTCAATTGGCGCATGCACCTCCTTTTTTAAGGGAGGCGCCATCTCACTTGGCGCCTAAGTGCTTAGGGCATGCCCTAAGCCAAGTGAGATGGCGCCTAAGTATAATTTTAGGGCAAAATTTTTTTTTCCTGTGCGTTGCCTATTGGACAAAGATCAACAAAATGAACTTTTTATTAAAAAAAAAATAATTACATTCAACTGTATTACATTAAAAGAACAGTAAAAAAAATGGATACAAAAAATACTGGGAAAAAAAAAGATACATCAGTGATCCCCCGGAACCCGGTAATGACCCCCGGTTCCACATCCCCGTCCTCGCCTTTCTCTTGCTGGGTGCCGTCGCGTTTCCTGCTGCGGCAAGGTCGATGGCCCAGCGAAGTCAATGCGGTTCGAATCTATAAAATCAGTAAGATCTCCATATCTCGAAGATCCGCTCTGGTACAGTCGGTTACCCATACCCTCAAAGTTTGGTCGTGTTGGCGGTGGGTGGGGTTCCATGGTTGGTCGGTAGCATTGGTCGTCTGAGTATGGGGGGTAGAAAGGAAATGGATCTTGGGGTGTTTGGTATTGTGGATGTTGGGTTGTTTGGTGATATGGTGGTTGATGGTAGGTTTGGTCGGCTTGGTCATAATCTTCCGACATTCCCATATCAGGGCTAAGGCTGGATGTTGAGGGCGCCATATTGGGATATGTGGAAGACTGAAATTGTGTCTGGGGTATGTGGGTGTGCTGGTATTGGGGTTGGTATTGTGGTTGGGTTTGAGGCATATCCGGGTATTGGTAGTTTGGTGGTGATTGTGGTTGGTAGTACGTCATTTGATTGTAGTTGTGTTGTGGTGGGGAATATGGTTGGGTGTTTGTGGGTCTGTTTCTTCTTGGGGGTTGGTTGGAGGTTGATGGGTTTTGGGTTTGTTGATGGGGAATCGAGGGTTATGCCCATTGTGTGCGTGGGTCAACCAAGTACCTCGGATGAGACACGTGCATTTCTGGGTTACTAACCGACCTGTACCACGACATATATTGATCCGTGTGTCGCATGTTACCTTGAGTAAGGAAAACCGGGGATTGCAAGATGTAGCGGTGACGCCTCTGCCACATCTTACACCATTCCAGAGCAAAGTCTTTCCAGTTGGTAAGACCCCACTGGGCGTCGACCCTTTTAAGATGCCAGGGGGACAAATCTGTTGGATCACTTGGTATCTCTTGATGCATTCCGAACTGCATCTTCACACGGTCGCTGTGGTGCATCTCCACAATGTTGAACCGAATGAGTGCAGTCTTTGCAGTCCAAGTTGCTGCATCCTCTGGGTTTGGAGCATGGCCCAAACCCAAACATGGTCTCCAGACGAACTGCGATAAAATTTAAATCAGGTTAGCGCAAAAGTAATGTATAAATAATTAAAATAAACAAAAGTTAAAAGCTACGACGTACGTCATCTAGGCCTAAGTGATCCAACAGATTCCGGTAGAGTGCGACATTGAATCTTGGATTCTTTCCGTAATCCATACCCCTCACGCAGTACCTAAAGGAAATGAGAAACATGTTATTTTTAGCATATATTTTGGAAAGAGCAGAATAGTTATAAATGCT